TAACCATAACATTGAAAATACGATTTTTTTTATAATGAAGATCATCTCACCCACACACATCTTAAAAGGTGGTCTTAACAATATATGCTTCTTATTAAAAGTAATGACTTAAGTGAAACACATGGCCAAATAGGTAATGTGTTAAATGGTAATGGTTTCACTATATGTATAGATGTAGGATCTTAATACACTACAAGTTTCATTTCCTGGAAAATTCTCAGCAACAAAAGTGATCAAATGAAGATCCTACATCTGTATATGTAGGATCTTAATTTGATCACTCTTTTGTTGCTAAGAATTTTCCTGCACAGCATGAAATGCTAACTTGTTGTGTATTCAAGGCTGATTTACCTTAAAGAAAAATGAATCAACCCCTACAAAAAAATGCCCATTAATTATAATCCACATAATAATTCACAATTCCTGTTGCTGCAGGATTATTTTTCTGCTTTAGCAAACTGGCTCAAATTAAGATCCTACATCTGTCCATTTATTGTGTACATGGCCATCTAATTCTTTTTGTTCTCAATGGCAGTTGTGTTCTTGTGAGCGCATCATATTTGATTACAGCCCAGCCTCATCATATGGACAGATGCTAATGAATAGCAGGCTCCCCTTGTCCGTTGTGTGCGGAACGCTTTGTGACCAGCAGTGGCCTAACTTCAATTTAGCACAGAGCGTGGCACTTGAGGGAAGCATGCTATCAATACACTAATGCTGTATTGGGGTGCATAAAGTATTATGGGGTGTTGATAAACAAACAAACACATGACAAACACGCACACACAAGGACAATACACACATACAGATGTAGGATCTTAATTTGGTCACGCTGTTGCAGGATAACTTTCCCGCAATGCAGGACATTTTAAACTTGTAGTGTATTTGTGGTTTGAAAAGGCTTCTGAAGTTTGTAATTTCCACTTTGAGATTTGTTTCAGACTTGATTTTCCTTTACGGAAAATCTATCAATCCCTTCAAAATGTCCATTAGTTATAATCCACATAATAATTCACATTTCCTGTTGCTGTAGAAAACTGGGTCAAATTAAGAACCTATATTTGTACATAGGCATGCGCATGGGCACGCACACACACACACCCACACACACCCACACCCACACACACCCACACACACACACGCACACAAACACGCACACACACACACACACCCACACACTCTCTCTCTCTCTCTCTCTCTCTGTCTCTCTCTCTCTCTCTCTCTCTCTCTCTCTCTCTGTCTCTCTCTCTCTCTCTCTCTCTCTCTCTCTCTCTCTCTCTCTCTCTCTCTCTCTCTCTCTCTCTCTCTCTCTCTCTCTCACACACACACACACACACACACACACACAAACTCACTCACAAGAAAACAGAGCAGTGTGTATTGATCCAAGGAGGAAATACACCAGACATTTTTCATGAGTAGCCTACAACATGACACACTGCTCTTCATAAGTGAATCAATGCAAACACCAATGTTATCTTGCTAGCTACCTTTACATATTATGCTCTTTATATCGTATGCCATTACATAAGCATGTTATGTAACAAAAAGCAAAAAAGCAAAAATAATGTAACAAAAAGCCAAAAACATGTTATTTTACAAAAGCATTCTCTAAAGAGATTCTTTAAAGTTGCCATTTCCATTCTGTTCCAGGGGTGTTGCTGGAGTGATGGGTTAATGGGTCAGGAACCAGAGACTCCCTGACCCTACACTCACACTAGGCCCCAGCTCATCTGGAGAGAAACTCTCGAAGTAGCCCAATATTAGACCTCTGATTAATTATTTAATTAATCCAAGGTATAACATTGAGTCCAATATTAGACCTCTGATAAATTATTTCATTTATCCGAGGTATAATATTGAGCCCAATATTAGACCTCTGATTAGTTATTTCATTAATCCGGGGTATAATAGTGGGCTTTGAAGAAGCCTGTCAGATCAGGTTGAGAATCACAGTATGTTCACAAAAAATATTCTGTCTGATAGTAACACATAACAGCCAATGAAGCTGTTAGGGAGATGTGGTGTAAAAATTCATAAAAAACATATTTTTGTGATAGCTTCTAAATTGGGACCATTCTGGTCGTAAATGCTCCTAAATATTTTGCTTTGCGACCTGGAGTTTTGATTTGAGTCCGCCTACTGTAGAAAAATATTCACCCACATAACACATTAATTGAATGGCAACATGATGGCTGTGTTTCACACAGACCAATTCTGATCGTTTGCCCAATTATTGGCAAAAGAGCTGATCTGATTGGTCAAAAGACCAATTCGTGGGAAAATATGAGAATTGGGCTGGTTATGCAAACTCAGCATATGTTTGTGTGGTTGGAAGCAAGCAAAGTTGTTCAATTGTATCATTTAGTGTCCTGTGCGCTCTGACTGTTATTACATTTTCTATTATTATTTGAGTGGCATGCATCAGGAGCAAAGTCGATACATTAACCTTTTTTCATTTGGGCAAAAGTCTGTCCTCTCTCCTCCGTCTCCTTTCCTCCGTGACCCGGAAACCAATAAAGTGGTCGAGTGGTCGAGTGGTCGAGGAGAGTGTCAATTTGTTAGTAGGCGAATTGAAGTGTGTCCTCCCCTCCTCGATAGCCACGGATAGTCATGTGTATCCTACCTGAGTCTTTGATATCTGCCACACCCTCTTTGAAGCAATTGTTTTCTCAAAGGAGAAAAGCATGGAAATATTTAAAAATAATATGCTACTTATCCTTTTATCTATAAAATGTCTTGCACAACTAGCTAGATTTGTTTTATCACTTTACACATTTATTTTGGGATTCCACCCCTCTAAACGTCATTTGCTTGATGACGCTCGAGTGGAGAGGAGAGCCTCATTTCATACAAGTGCGTTTTAGTCTACGTTCCTTCTCCTCACTGCCTCTCCTCGGTTACCTTTTACCTTTTTCAAAGAAGTCGAGAGAGGACGGAGGAGAGAGGATGCAGGAGTTGAGCAAATCCAATTAAGAAAAGGCCATTGTATCATTTCACCTCACCTCTGAGAGTTAAGAGGAAATTCAGCAGTTTTCAGAGGACAGTGGAAGTTGATAAAAGTGCTTCAGTAAGTTATAAAGTAAAACTTTAGTCATCAGTATGTAGACAATCTTTGCTTAATTGCTTTAGTTTTAAAGATTAAATGATGAAGGAGGCTGTTATATATTTCAAATAGTTTCAGGGGCCAATCACAATGGGAATACAAAAAACAAGATGTGATTGGTAAATACCTTTCAGAAATCTGACCAGTCACATTATGTTTTGTTTTGTATTCCCATTGTGATTGCTCCATTAGCAAACACAATTTTTAAATATATAAAAGCCTCCTTCACTTTATTATTTATTCTGTTTGCTCCTCAATTCATGCACATTGGTTAGATCTAGGAGAGCGAGGTAGCGGCAGTGTTCAATTCACTTCACTTTGCACCTGAGAACTATGAACACACGGCCAAGTCTCGTCTGATGATGCTTCTCTGTACCAAGAGTAGTATTCGAGACCATCATGGTTCCACCCCACCTTTACCATTTAGAAAACATCTCATCTCTAGCCCGTTCAAAATGTATAACTCATATTACCTGAGATTTATTAAAATTTTTATTGTGGTCATTATAATTTCATATACTATGTTACATACCGTTTTTAACTACTTGCGGGTCACTAACTATTTGTTTCATAACAAAACAACTTTGCCGAGTCATGTTACCTTGCTGGCTAATAACCTGGTAACTTGACCTGTATGGTTTAAGATGGCACTGGAAAAAAGGAAAGAGGCTTCTGGATAGATGTGCTTCAAAAGAAGGATTCATATAGGCCTAATGTAGGACATATCTAAATCAATTTAAATCAATCTCTTTTCTGGTGCTCCTAAATACTGTTTGGTGTGCTCCTAAATTGTTTAAGTTGGGAGCACCAGTGCTACCAATGACAAAAGTTAATTTAGAGCTCTGCAGCTTAAAGTTGTAGTAATCAAAAGTCATATAATTTCATGTAAAGTACCTTCAAAATAAGTCTAAGTAGGTCCAAACTACACCATAAACTCTTCTGTTTAAATCACAGAATTAACTTTACCCTAAGTGATACTCTGTGCATCACAATTACCTACACACAGCCCTGCATTAGACCATGCAGACCAGACGTGAGTTGACTTTTATGTCCATGTGAATGTAGGCCGCGGCCCGCTCTCCTCAGCATCTGATGACAGCTTAATTCAAGGGCCAGGCCCCCTGCTGAGGAGGCCATTTGTGTGGGATGACAGACGGAGATCAGGCCAAGGGGAGATGAGTGGGAACCCTGCGAGCCCGCTCAGGTTTCGGGCACCGTGAAAAGATTTGTCCAGGCCATTCACCTCTGATGGAGTTTCCCATGTTCTGCTGGGAAGCACTTTTTATTGAAGTGTTTCCATAATGAGTCACTGTTTCTCTCTATCGCTGCATGGGCACACAAATATGCACTCACGCACGCACGCACGTTGGCACACACACATTTTGTGGAGAGAGCTGGTCCATCCATTCGGTTGCTTGCTACAGCCGAGACCACATGGAGCACCGGTGAGCTGGACACTACACAGACCAGGGTAAGATGGGCTCAGGCCCAGAGCAAGGGGGTCAGAAAAAGAAGGGAACAGGATAAAAAGGGGTTGGGGGGTCTTGGAAAGAGGGGACTTGTTAGAGTAGTTAGGGGACTAGAGTAAAGGGGCTGGGGTATTATGAGTTTTGGAAAGAGGGGACTTGTTAGAGTAGTTAGGGGACTAGAGTAAAGGGGCTGGGGTATTATGAGTTTTGGAAAGAGGGGCAGTAAGGGGACCAGGGCAAGAGGGTTTATGGTAAGAGGAGGTCTAGATGAGAGGTGTTGGAGGACTTTGGGGGATTTTAAAAGGCTTTTAAATAACTTGAAGGTACAGTACAGTTTCAGACATTCATGCAACACCATAGACATTTTGAGGGTTATAAGTTGTTGACATTCTGAAGGATGGAAATGTGTGAACCTTGCTCTCTAGGTGGTAAGATGGAGCGCTTATGTTTGATCCTCCTGCTGATGAGTAGGACCACTTCAGTCTTGGCACAGTTTAATGGATACAACTGTGATGCCACCTACCACAGTAGGTTTCCCGGTGAGCATGACAGTCATTTAATCTCTATGTAAATTATCCTCTGAAATCATTTTCACTTATTCTTAGGTCTGAGAATTGTTGTTAGAATTACTGTTTACCCTCTCTCTCTCTCTCTCTCTCTCTCTCTCTCTCTCTCTCTCTCTATCTCTCTCTCTCTCTCTCTCTCTCTCTCTCTCTCTCTCTCTCTCTCTCTCTCTCTCTCTCTCTCTTTAGCGGAGCGCGACATCAGTGTGTACTGCGGGGTTCAGACCATGACTCTGAAAATTAACTTCTGCCCAGTGCTGTTCTCTGGCTACACAGTTGCAGACCTTTCGCTCAACGGTCGCCATGGCGATACCCACTGCCGGGGCTTCATCAATAACAACACGTTCCCCACGGCAGTACTGTTCAGCATAAGCCTCAGCACACTGGAGGCCTGCGGCAACAGTCTGGTGGTGAGGAAGACACACACATACAGATGGACAATGTGTTTTATATTTTGGGAGAACGTCTTGCTTGAGGCTATGGTAGGTGTTGTACCAGATTGTGTATTTAGAGACGATGTCCCTGTCCTCAGGTGACAACAGCTTACGGGGCTAATGCCTACGGGAACATGTCGCTGGTGCAGATTGGGAATATCTCAGGGTACATCGACACTCCAGACCCGCCATCCATCATCAGCTATCTGCCCGGCCTGCTATACAAATTTAGCTGCAGCTACCCCCTGGAATACCTGGTCAACAACTCACAGCTGGCATCGTAGGTGCCTGCCATAAACACCTGAAGGGCTTATTTTGAATAAAACTGAAGTATTGAATACATAAGTAGGGATATTTCAGTATTTTTGAAAGATTAATTTGACATTTGAAATCAGTCAGCAATTTCATATTCAGTGCCGACTTCATTACACAAAAATTCAAAAAACAAAAGAATGTTTACCTGTCTAAACTGTACTAAATAATTTGAACCTTTTCTAGATCATCTGCTGCAATATCAGTGAAGGACAGCAATGGTACCTTTGTGAGCACTTTGAGTATGATCCTTTACAATGTGAGTACACAACATCAGTGTTTTTCTTAGGTCACACAAGGACTTCATAACAGGGCCCTCATAGTAGGAATTCAATGTCAAATAATAATTAGAACATGCTCCCGTCAAAATACTAAACAAATTATGAGACATTTCTATTAGGTAGAAATAGACATATCATAAAAATAGGCAACTTTTTTATTCATGGACAAAATCATGTTTGTGCAGGACTCAACCTACAACCAACAACTCTCTATCCCAATGGCTGGACTGGCTTTGAAAACCCGAGTGTTTGCTGCAGTGAAAGCCACAAGCCTGGACAAACGGTAAGAGATCTTCAGATATTAAAAAGTTATATATTTTGTTCTAGTTTCTATTATTCACAATACAGATGGGGATATGATCTGAGAAGCACAAATATTTCCAACATGATGTGAACAGAAAGCTATGATTCTGCCATGAAACGTGCTGTTTTCAAAAATAATTGAATAGCTGTAACCTGCTGGGACTTTCTATCACATAACCTGGATGGCATATAATTGATATAGTAGTCAGGTACAACTGCACAGTATACCATACACATACGCTATAATTTAAGACCAATCCTCTATGCACCCTACCAATTCAGTTCTATCCTCTTTGGTTCATTGCCCTTCAGCTCTCCTCTATGGCTGTGTGAAGGCGCCAGTGGTGGTGCTAAGAATGTCTGATCTGTCCTGTTGTGTTGTGTGGTTAAATCTCTATCCTGTATCAGCCCCATACTGTTTTGTCTCTCTCTAGATGGAATATCTTGATGGACTACTGTTACACCACTCCCTCAGGGAATCCCAATGATGAACTGCGCTACGACCTTTTCTTTGGGTAATCACACCTTTTCTCAAATGATGCCAAGATAAACGACAAAAGTGTCCCATTACCCATTCACCCTCAACCACTTATCATAGAGGCCCTTACAATGGGTTCTCATGGAGCAGTTAAAACAGGCCTAGACGTTTCAGTCGTTTCAGTGCATTTTGTGTGTGTGTCTGTGTGTTTGTGTGTGTGTGTGTGTGCGTATGTGTGTGCATGCTTGCGTGCGATGCACTTTCCAAACAGCTGCTATAAAGACCCACAGACCACTGTTTTCGAGAATGGGAAGAGTCAGATGGGTCGTTTTGCCTTCGAAGTGTTCCGTTTCGTCAAACACAGACACCAGAAGATGTCCACTGTGTTTCTGCACTGTGTCACCAAGCTGTGTCGGGTGGATGACTGTGTCCTGCTCATGCCGGTAAGAACATGTGACACCTTACCAAATGGTGTGTTCACCATCAGTACAGTCAATAGGGTGAACTTCAATGCTCTGCAAATATCAGAAAATATGTACCATCTTTCTTGACTTCTGATCAATATGAAGCTTCACATAGTCCAGTAATACCTGAGCACTATTCACTATTCCCTATTGAATACAGTATCATGTGTCTGTGATTTTATATTGATCTAATATTGGCAGATCTGTGGGCGTCGGCGTAGGCGGGACATAGAGGAGAGCCTGGAGTCTAGGCCGTCCTCTGGGGATGCCATCATTACCGCTGGACCCATCATCACCAGAAGTGGTACGCAGTACACCTCTTCATCCATAACCACTTAAACTTAGACTATGGTTTTGTCTGACTTTAATTAGATTATTTTGATATCCATTATATAATTGTAGAGTAAGTATTAAAACTGTACAGTATGATGTGATGTAGCCTACAGTGCCTTCGGAAAGTATTCAGACCCCTTGACTGTCTCCACATTTTGTTAGGTTACAGCCTTATTCTAAAATTGATTAAATTGTTTCTTCCCCTCATCAATCTACACACAATACCCCATAATGACAAAGCAGAAACAGGTTTTTAGACATTTTTGCTAATTTATTAAAAAAGAAAAACTGAAATATCACATTTACATAAGTGTTCAGACCCTTTACTCAGTACTTTGTTGAAGCACCTTTGGCAGCAATTACAGCCTCAATTCTTCTTGGGTATGACGCTACAAGCTTGGCACACCTGTATTTGGGGAGTTTCTCCCATTCTTCTCTGCAGATCCTTTCAAGTTGGATGGGGATCGTTGCTACACAGCTATTTTCAGGTCTCTCCAGAGATGTTCGATCGGGTTCATGTCCGGGCTCTGGCTGGACCACTCCAGGACATTCAGAGACTTGTCCTGAAGCCACTCCTGCGTTTTCTTGGCTGTATGCTTAGGGTCGTTGTCCTTTTGGAAGGTGAACCTTTGTCCCAGTCTGAGGTCCTGAGCGCTCTGGAGCAGGTTTTCATCAAGGATCTCTCTGTACTTTGCTCCATTCATCTCTGCCTCGATCCTGACTGGTCTCCCAGTCCCTGCTGCTGAAAAACACCCCCACAGCATGATGCTGCCACCACCATGCTTCACCGTAGGGATGGTGCCAGGTTTCCTCCAGACGTGACGCTTGGCATTCAGACCAAAGAGTTTAATCTTGGTTTCATCAGACCAGAGAATCTTGTTTCTCATGGTCTGAGAGTCTTCAGGTGCCTTTTGGCAAACTCCAAGCGGGCCGTCATGTGCCTTTTACTGAGGAGTGGCTTCCGTCTGGCCACTCTACCATAAAGGCCTGATTGGTGGAGTGCTGCAGAGATGGTTGTCCTTTTGGAAGGTTCTCCCATCTCCACAGAGGAACTTAGAGCTCTGTCAAAGTGACCATCAGGTTCATGGTCACCTCCCTGACCAAGGCCCTTCTCCCCTGATTGCTCAGTTTAGCCGGGCGGCCAGCTCTAGGAAGAGTCTTGATGGTTCCAAACTTCTTCCATTTAAGAATGATAGAGGCCACTGTGTTCTTGGGACCTTCAATGCTGCAGAATTTTTTGGGTACTCTTCCCCAGATCTGTGCCCTGACACAATCCTGTCTCGGAGCTCTACGGACAATTCCTTCGACCTCATGCTTGGTTTTTGCTCTGATATGCACTCTCAACTGTGGGACCTTATATTGACAGATGTGTGCCTTTCCAAATCATGTCCAATCAATAAAATGTACCACAGGTGGACTCCAATCAAGTTGTAGAAACATCTCAAGGATGATCAATGGAAACAGGATGCACCTGAGCTCAATTTCAAGTCTCATAGCAAAGGGTCTGAATACTTAATGTATTTCAGTTTTTTTTATTTTATAAATTTGCTAACATTTCTAAAAACCTGTTTTCGCTTTGTCATTATGGGGTATTGTTTGTAGATTTCTGAGGATTTTAAAAATATATAATCAATTTTAGAATAAGGCTGTAACGTAACAAAATGTGGAAGAAGTCAAGCGGTCTGAATACTTTCCGAAGGCACTGTACACACCATAATCCCTTTCATACATTTACATTTTAGTCATTTAGCAGACGCTCTTATCCAGAGCGATTTACAGGAGCAATTAGGGTTAAGTGCCTTGCTTAAGGGCACATCGACAGATTTTTCACCTAGTCGGCTCGGGGATTAGAACCAGCGACCTTTCGGTTACTGGCACAACGCTCTTACCCACTAAACTTCCTGCCGATTATATACTGTATAGTCTTGAAATATATTGATGAAGGGTGACGTGAGAATAAACTGAGGTGGGATTTGACAGTATAATCAATGGTTATTCAGTACATTTGTATTAAAATGCATGGTTGTTTTCCTCAATAATGTTGAAACTATGAAAGCATCAATGATTGATTTTGTTTCTTTACAGATGAAACTCCAACGAATAACTCACAACTCGGTAAGTTCTCTCACTTTGTCACTGCTTGTGCAATGCCTTGACAAGTGATATATTTTTCTCATCTATAACCTCTATGACCTTCTTAATCCATTATTTTTACATTCTTTATACATTCACTAGCATCAAAAGAAAATATGACACCCGTGGATTTAGTCATGATAATAATAGTTAACTCATACAAGTTTCACTTCCCTTTTGTGTTTCTTAACCATTAACTGTGGTAATTTTAGCCTATATCAGTGAGTATTTGTGTCGGCCCATACTTACTCTTTGTGTGTTTGTGTATGGTAATCCAGCTGCATCGAGTGGCCCCTCCCTCCAGTTGAACCCAGTGACCAGTGCTCTGCTGTCGGGTGTGGTCATTCTGGGCGTGTTCAGTCTGGGCTTCTTGCTGCTCTCGCTCCGCCTCCTCCGCAGACCCCCCCTCCCTACAGCCACACCCTCAGGAGCATGGAACGCTGGCTTCAAATAAACCTCTGGTGTGTGCGTGTGCTCTCTCTCTCTCTCGCTCTCTCTCTCTCTCTCATTCTCATTATCTCTCTCTCATTCTCCCCCTCTCACTTTTCTCTCTCTCTCTTATCCATCTAACTATAACTAATACCTACAGTATGTATTTGCACGGCATTTAAAATAGGCAGGTGCAATGTAATTGCAGTGAAGATACGATGCAATTTAAAAAAAACTTTTATAGAAACTCACAGTAAAGATAACTGTGATCTAAAACAATGATTCTAGAGTAAGAGGAGGTTTAACCACAAGCAATAGTTTCACTATGTGCCTACCAAGTAAATACATCAATACATAATAGGGACAGTTATTGTAAAGCGGGACCTGTATTTTCTGAAATGTATACAGTATTTAGCTACTCTGTCTTCCCTGGATGTTTACTTACTCTCCATTTCTTACTTACTCTTATCCGGCAGCTGTAATAGTCACTGTCATGCCAAACTCTCAGTCACATACTCACGTGTACATACACATACTCAAGCGCATATTGATACTGTAAATAGTTAATTCCTCCTTTGTGTACAGGGGAACAGTATATATTCAAGAACAATTTAATTAATTGTTTTCCTGTGCTTTGTTTTGATCCATTGATAGACCAGTATATTGTTTTGTACAGGTAATGTGTAATAAAACTGACCCAGGTCAGTATATGAGGCTCATTTCCCATCTATTCAATACCTTAGTGTCTTTTTGTCATCCATTGCTTGGCACGGGATCAGTTACATTAAAGAAATAAAGGGTCATCCAAATAACCCTGACACCCGGTGATGACTGATACTGTCCTCTACAAAGGCCAACACCAAAATGTTACTTGTAGCGATTTGATTTCTATAACATACTACCTATTTTAACCTGAGAAAAGGTAGGCTTAAGTATAGTACTAACACGTGAGGAGAATTGAAGAAGTGATTCATTCTATATGTATGATCATTATGAATATTTATATACCGTATGTACTTATTGGTATTAATTATGGCTGAAATCCTGACTTCCACATAACTTGAATATTTTGGAAAGTTTTTAACATCAATGCTGTGACGAGGTGTGAATGAAGGAGTCAGGCGCAGGAGGTACCAAAGTCCAGAGTTTATTCTCTTTACATAAATCAAATGCCCCAAGCGGAAAACATCCACCTTGGCATAAACACAGTGAATAGTCGCTCAACCGCGCTACACGCTCTCACAACAAACAATCACTCACAAAGACAAGGGGAACAGAGGGAACACTTATACACATTCTAATTAGGGAATGAGCACCAGGTGTGTGTGATTGACAAGTGGAGTGATGAGAATGGGATCGGCAGGAGCTAGTACTCCGGTGACGACGAACGCCGAAGCCTGCCCGAACCAGGAGGGGGGGCAGCCTCGGCGGAAGTCATGACAAATGCATAATTTAAAAAAAAATCGAATTACTTGCTAAAGTCAGGATTTCAGCCTATGTGCATTTTATTTTTGAGGATTATGTGGGTTTTTTCCCCCTTTTTAGGGAATGTGCTATTTGACCTGCACTGATGTGGAAAGTTTAAAAAAGAAAGCAATAATCAATTTACTGTAATTGCCTAACTTTACAATCATGTTGATAGGACTTGCATGTGGGGGGTTATTTTTCAAATAAATATTTTACATATCAGTCTGCCTAATGATATTATTTACTGGCCTTATTTATAGTGTATCAGTATAATTTTTAACACTGATGTTGTGCAATGTTTCAGACTACAAGCTAGAATTCAATCGAACCTGATTGTGTCTTTTACCCATGGTCAAATAAAATCACAGAAGGTTTCTGACTATTGTAGAAAGTACAGGTAGACCCCCTTATAGATGTTTCCAGTTTTCTGGAAAATTCCGCAGGCAGTTTGTAAACAAACATACAGCATAAACATAGCTATTTTCAATTGTATTCCAGCAATTGTAATTACATTTATATACCTTCATATTAGAGTTACCTGCTATAACATGTCTAACGCCATGCCAATTGTTGAAATGTAACCCACACGATAATCCTGTAATTTGGGCCCTTTATTGCGCTAATCCCATATTTCAGCAGCTATTATACATTATATTCTCTGTCCATAATGGCCGTCGATGACTGAGAGGAGAGAAATGAGAGCAGTCATCACCCTCTGGATTTACTATCTTTGATAAGCGATTACAAGGTTTTTTCTTGGACATTCAATATTCAACCCAAGTTCAGGTCACTGCCAGGTCCAAACCCAGGCTGTGTTTAAGCAGTAAGGCCAGAGGAGATGTGGTATATGGCCAATATACCACGGCTAAGGGTATATTATGCACGACGCAACGCAGAGTGGCTGCATACAGCTATTAGCCATGGTATATTGGCCATATATCACAAACACCCGAGGTGCCTTATTGCTATTATAAACTGGTTACCAATGTAATTAGAAAAGTAAAAAGTATTTTTTTCAAACCCATGGTATACAGTCTGATATACCACGGCTTCCAGCAAATCAGCATTCAGGGCTCAAACCACCCAATTTATAATTCCTTTTTTTGTATGACCTTTTTTGTAGTGACCAGAAAACACATGAACTGTGAAAAAAGGTAGAAAGACCATGACATTTTTAAGTGTACACGTCATGACAATGACAATGTTGTGTGTGTGTGTGTGTGTGTGCGTAATCCTCTCCATGGTTTTGTGCACTTCACAAGGGACCAGGGTAACACCCATGCGCTCTGATTTGACCCTAATCAAATTTGAGCTTTGAGATACATTTGTAATGAAAAGCGCTAAACAAATTGTATTTATTATTTATTATTAATCAGAATAAATGTTTTCCCATCCCAGGTGGCTCACCTGACAAGATCAGGTTACCACTGTCCTTCATGCAGTTCCACTTCTGATTCCAGACCAAAGAAGAAGGGCCACTAGACATAGACATGATGAATAATAAGTATGTGCACTCACTCTTCGAAGTCACACAGGGCACATTTATTGGTGACATTTCTTGGTGACATTTACACATCATATTTGGTTTTATTTGCATTGGAGTCACATGATAGTTTTTTTCATAGGTTCATTATGAATATGTGTCTGTATGGGTGCTTTACATTATTCAAACATGCTCTGTATAATATTAGTAATCCCCTCTGTCACATGCGTGAGTGAGTCACAGTGGCGTCATTCCATGGTGAATCATATTCGTGTACTTTCCCCAACACTGTCAGGAAGAATTGAATTTGTTCAAAGTGTTTTTGATAACTGTATTGAGTACTTCCTCATATCAACAAAGGGATTCACTTGATTAGCATAGGGCATTTAATATGACATTTTTAATCAGAGCATTGTAATGTGAAGTTAATTAACCATCCACCATAAAAAAATATGAACACAGATGAAAGCAGCGCCTTCAGATGATCCCTCGTTAATCAATTTATCTCATTTTAATGACCATATACTATAGTGCTGAAGCCCCCTCCCTTAAAAGTGGTTGAGAACTAGGTGTGGGTCGCCTAAGTCGTATTAGAACTTAAACTCCTTAAAGGAAACAAGACACCCCTCACATATACTTACTTGATTATTACATTTCATATTAGCATGCAAAGGGGAGAAGGGTAACACACAAAGTCACAAAAACCCCTGCCCATTGTTTACCATATAACTTTGAAGGGGACTGTGTAGGGTTTCATGAATTTGCCTCCAGGAAAATACCCACAGTGCCTTAGCAACAAAAGTGAATTATTCCACTACCTGAGACAGCCCCACCAAGATGGCAATGACCCTGTTTCCAACCAATCCCAAGGAAGTATGAGAACTATAAAACTAGTCCTGGTCCCTATATAGACAACGTGTCGACAGTAAACAATCATTATTCAGATAAGAAACTAAAGAGGTAAGGTCTGAGCTATTAGAAAAGACAACTTGTACTACAGATTGCACACATCTAGGAATAAGGCGTCATCCCATAGCATTTTATCCTAGTCTTGAAATTTTATTTTTACTTTTTGTGCTTGACATTGACAGCTGTGTGTTTTGCTGCAGATGTTCAGCGAGGACAGATTGGTAAGATGGATTTATCCAGCTTCCTCATCCTGACTTCCCTGTGCATTGTGGGTCATGATCAGGCCCTCACCCCTGCTGAATGTGGGGCTTACGCCAGTCTACCAGGTATAGTAACTCCATTGACCTGGCTATTCAAATCTGCCCTGCCATCTACACTGGATACAATGAGAGTCTGTTGATCCTGAACCACATCATGGATAACACAGTCTGTAAGGGAACTCTGGACACCAGAGTGAATCCTCCTGTCCTGAGATTCAGCTTTCCCCTTCGCCAAGGGGACGCCTGCGGGAGTGTCTTCTTGATGATTATTAATAGGAAAATGTTGATGTATGCTCTCCTTCTGCCATGGAGGAGTGTTGTGATAGAGGGAACGCTCACAGCACCACTGACCTTGACTGAGGGGAATGGGGGGAATGGGGGAGCAGAGGATTTTTGTTTCTCTGAGAGGTTTTGACCCCTGTCAATCTTTTAAAACTTTTGAAACTTACCTTATCACGAGCTAGAAAGTAACACTAAATTGAAAGTCCATTTACACTAAAGTAGCTGAGTTGAAGAACAGGTGACGGCTTTCAGTCTAAAAGAAACTTCAAGGGAATAAGAGATCTCATTTTCTGGTTTGCTTGTGTGCTGTAAAGGTGTCTTTCTGTCAGAGAAAAATGCTCTTTTGTACACACTATTGCACACAGCAACCTTCAAAGCCACATAGTCAACATAGTAGTTTTATACAAAGGATAATAGTTTAATCACTGGAGTCATTCATGCAATGCAAGGTTCTACTTGTGGACCCCAGGAAGAGTAGCTGCTGCTTCTGCAAAATATACTGGGGATCCTAATAAACAAATAAATAAATACTTCCAACAGTTATGTTTTGAATCTTTCAGCTTCATCAGTGCTTTGGCCCTGTTCCAGGTAGGATAACACAACCACCACCTACGTAACACCCCCATTCAAATACACACGGCTCCGACATTGCAAAGTGCCAATTTTCCAATGTGCTGCCACCTTATAAAATAACTGTAATCCTATACCAACAAACATGTCTGATCTTATGTAAGTGTGCTTTTATAATGGTGCCATCTTCCTTTCTTCCTTCACCAGGATGCAAACTATACCACACCCCTGGTTATCCCTCCTCTGGGTATTGACCTGAGGACTAATGTCTACGTTCAGGTTTTAGCTGCCAACCTGACTTCCCAGTAAGAACCTTCTCATTGTCTTCCCTCTTAGCCTTAGTAATAATTACTATCAGTTCTGTTACAAACGGAAACTATTTTAGAATGTGTATAGAGGATTCTACTTGTCATCTGAAGTGTTTGACTCAGTTTTGACGACCTCACTCTTTCTCTACAGATACCATGTGCTTCTGGACCGATGCTACGTGTCCGTCTCCCCCTGCCCTCCATCTTAACATTCTTTAATCTCTTCGTATCGTAAGACAAAAAAAGAAAAAACACTCTTCAATCAAATATTTAAAAAGTGTTCGTTGCCCGGTTCATATCAAATTAGTAATAATTTCAATACTGGGCTTGATTAAATGTCTTCCCTCCTTTGCATTCAGACACAGTGCACCTTCTCACTAGAAAATGTAACTATCTCTATCCAGGTTCCTCTTTATCTAGTGAGCTCAATGCAAAACGGAGGAGGAGCCTCTTCGTCTAGGCACCAAGGGACCTTATTGTTAAGCTAATGCCAGTGCCAGAGACAGAGACATGATAGTTCGAAAGGGTAACATTTCAATACTGGTGGAGGTGTGAGAGTAGTGTTCTCTTCTACTCACTCAACCTTTATTGTTTTGGAATCGTTTATGTTTCTTTGGACCACTTGAGAAACTGTTACATGGGTGGTAACATGAACATTCTCAATTTTTTAAAACCTTATGGATATCCTAGGTAATAACTGGGCTAACAAGTAGGATGAACCGTGACCATTGTAAACACAGATAGTTGACTACTGACCCTGTGAGAAACCTAATCTTTAGTTGGATAGGCAACATGGACAGTGTAATGTATGTACAATCCAGAGCAGCATTTGAACGTTTTATTCAAAACTTTAGATGATTGTAATCTTGATCTTTGTTGCATTTTATATGGAAAGATGGGACATGTAGAATTAAATATTGGTTGCAAATGAGTGTACCCTGCATTCAAGTGATCTCAGATGCCATAAAGATGAGTGAAAGTGGTATGTGTATGTGTCAGGCCGGAGCCCCGGGAGCGGGAGAAGGTATCCTGCCTTTTTGGGAGAGCCCTGGAATGGGCCAACGCGGTGTGGAACGAGGGAGGTACCACGTTGGAGAACTACAGGGAGTTTGCTCGCCTCTTTCGGGACGTTTTTGATCACCCGCCTGAGGGTCGAGAGGCGGGCGAACGACTGGTTCATCTGAGGCAGGGGACAAGGACCGCTCAGGACTACGCGCTGGAGTTCCGGACACTGGCAGCGGGGTCCGGGTGGAATGAGCGGGCCCTGATAGACCATTTCCGGTGCCACC